CGCATGCTGGATATGACTTTTCTTGCATTCTGGTTTAAGCTATTTTAACTCTGTTCAGATGCTGGGTGTAGGTAGCTTATTTAGAAGTTTTTCTGCCAAACAAGCATGGAAAGTTTCTCTGAATTTCTCCATCTGTTTGTGTGTACAAACTTTTTCAGTATCTGGCAGGTGATTTAACCTTTGTTGGGTCCCATGTGCTCAACAGAAGTCAGTTTTTGCTGACATAGTCTTGTACCACAATGTTCACTAAGTGCATCTTCACAGAACTTTCCAGCTATTTCTTATCTATTTATTCTCTTTATATATTCTGCTTTAGGTGATTTTTCACTGTATTATATAAGCATCTTAATTTCATTCCTGTGTAGGTAAGGTTGATTTATGTCATAAAAAATGAAAAAAATCTTGCTTTATAAAAAGAAGCTTAATTTAACACCTTTAAAAATGTGTTTTCTATCACTGATAAGATGACTTGGAATTCTGTGCTCTGCCAATAAAATCCATTGCAGCAGTGTTCCTATGATGATTTTAAAGTATGTTATGGCTTTCTAAGGTCGCCTTTTTGGGCAACCTTATATTGTAAAGGTAGGCATTAAAATATATTGCAAACATAAGCATTATAACATAGGTGCTAGATGTACAACATTAAGTCTGATCTGTACTTTTAGCATTAGTGTATTCTGTTGCTTTTTTGTCTTTGAAGTATGATGAGAATAGATTTAATCATTAAGGATGTACTTAATGTATTTATACTGTATTAAATGCCAATAACATTCAACATTATGCAAGAGAGTTTTGCAGTCCAGTAAAAACAGAGGAGATGGGACAGGCAGAGAAGCTTAGAGGAATTTGACAGGTCAGGCTTTTTTGAATGTTTGAATTGGTTCACTTGTTGAATTTCAGCAGATTGTATTAGAATAATATTAGAATGGGCAGTGGCTTGCTGAATCTGGACTTAGAGAAATTTTCTGTTCTTGCAGGCTGGGAAATGCAACTATGTAAATACCTTTAATAATTTGTGCAATACAGCACCATTATCAATAATTAATTTTATTAGAAATTTTGACAGTAATACCATCATAAGAACGTTAGAAAAAAGGAGTGAAAAACAAAAAAAAAAATTTGTGGGGAAAAAACCCAAACATAGACATACATGATCCCCAGTAATTAAATTAGTAGTTTATTATGGGTTATTTAACTTCTCAGTGGTAAGGAAAGTATCTACATTACCTTTCCAAAAGAACATTCCCATCCTTTTCTAAGTTCCTTTGAATTGCTCTTGGCAAATATAAGAACTTTGCAAAATCTGTTTTGCAGATGTGGAATCCACCATAAAAAAAGTTAAATTTAAACTTGTGTGGAGCCTTTTTCGTGAAAGTTTTGTTTAAAAAGAAATTTATGAAACAGAAATTAAAAATACTTATATGGCTGTGCAGAACAATATATTAAAATCTGCTGTGATGAAAGAATGAAATTATATGTTGGGGGGATAGTTTTTTTAAAAAAATTATATGTTGTTTTTAGTAAAGAACAAGCTTTCATTAAACATAGTTTGTTTTCAGGTGGAAAAAAGCCTCATTCAGGAAATGTTTTCCTTTTGTTTTCAGTGGAGTTCAAAAATATCTTGGTTGTACCCATCAACAGATAAATATCAGTATTACATTTCTGCTAAATGCTGCCACATAGAGTGTAAACCAATATTATTCTTTCATCCCACACTTACCTAGGCCTAGGGAGCTACTCTTGGGCTTTTTTGACCAAAGTGAGTCTCATGGAACTGATCTGAGTGACCTAGGAGTAAAATATTTCATTCATTTCAACACAAAGAACGTTATATTGGATGAAGAGTTGTTTAGAAAGTGAAAATGGGACTTCTGTAATGCTATCTCAGCTATTTTTTAGTTATGTCTGGGGAGGAGAAAGAATCATTAAATGGTACAAACTGTTCTGTTAAAAAAAAAATAAAAAGAGGCATAATTCCAAATTGTGCTGAATTGACTATGATATCGTATGGTGACTGAGGGTCAGTAGCAGAAGGCAAAAAAAAATAAATAATACAGAAGCAGCCTTAGTTAGCAGTTGTTTGTGATATCGCCAGTTTAAAGACATATTCTCTGAAGGCAAATTGTTTGGGGTTCTGTGCTTCCTTTCTTGCTATCCCCTTTCTTTTTGGCTAGAATGGGAGGAGTTAAATAATATTAGGTGTTTTGCGGGAAAGGGACTGGAAAAATGCTTCAAGTGTAAACATTAGGTGGGGGGAAAGCATCAAAGTGGCTGCTGAAAGAAGAGACAGGATGCTCAGATAGTTACTGATGGAGCATGGAGGGTGAAAGGGAAATGTCAGAACAAGTTAGTCCATGTCGTACTCAGACTGTGCGATGAAGGCCCTTAGAATGCGGTAGTGAAAGTACTTATCTGAGGTCTTTCAGCAGTCCCTGTGTTTCTAGTCCATCAGTGGTCTGAAGGAAAATATAAAACATGTATACTTTAGAGGTGATTCCTGATGCTTGTTTTGTTGTGATTCAGTCAGAAACCATGGGGTGATTGATTCATGTAAGCTGAAGTTTTGTCTATGGTATTATGAGATGTGTTTGCAATACAATGTCTGTGTTTAAATAAAATTTTGAAATATTTCCATAAAGAATAAAAACACTTAAAAGATCTGACATGAAAGATCTCAGTCTTAGCTCAGGAGTTAAGGGCTGTCTGGGAATGGTTGATCAATTTTTAAGTAATACATAGGTGATTTCTTATAAAAATATTTCTTCATGGTTGAAACACAAAATGAGTAAGAAGGTTTGAATATGTTCTATAGTGTTGTGAAGTGATTTAGGTTTTAACAGGACATTGAGCTCTGAAGGATTTAAAAAAGTCTTTCTGTGCCAGCAGAAATGAAGAATTAGGATAGTGAAGGATTCTCAGAGGTTATTTTTGGAATTGCAGCTGGGATGCTTGTGAGGCATTTTAGATAAAAAAGTCAAACAGAGGGAGGCACATCATCTGAGAAGTGGATATGCCAAGGCAGTCCTGGGAAACTTGCATTATAAGAGAGGGAGTAGCTTTCCAGTAGGAGTTGGTCACCACAAGATGAGGAAGAGAAGCTGGAGCTACAGGACATTCAAATGAGTTTCTATAAGTATTGAGTATTATGAGGGAAAAGGACTGGGAAAAGACTCAAGTTTTGAGTAGTTATCAGAATGGGAGAAAGTGTCAATATGCCTGTTGAAAGGTATGAGACTGGGGTGGTTGTTGACAGCACGTGGAGAGGAAAAAGGGAATCTCAGAATCGCATAACAGTTGAGGATGGAAGCTAGAAGTGACCTCCGAAGATCCTTCAATCCAACCTTCCGGTTAAAAAAAGGATCACCTAGGCACCTAGCACATGGCTATGTCCAGACAGGTTTTAAATAACTCCAAGAAAGGCAACTCCATAACCTTGCTGAGCAGCCTGTTCCATATAGCAGCATGGATTTATTTAAGTGACCCTAGAAAATGCATCATAATCTAATGTTTCGCTTAAAATGGAAAAAAAAACAAACAAAAAACAAACACACTAAAAACCCCATCACAAAAACGCGAACCGACCATCAGAATACTTGACTGTCTTATACTAGGGCTCCAAATGTAACAATGAAGTGATGCCTTACAGCTATGACATTTGAAGACTTTTAATTATGAGACTAACCTTCACTTTATTACAGACAACTGGAGATTCATTTTACTCTGATTAGTTATGTTTTCAGTACTGTCATTAAATGTGCAATTAAATATAACTTCTATGACCTATTTCCAGCTCATTTTCTTGTCTGTTTTATCCTGGAATTATATATATGTCAGCTCTGTAGCCTGGCTGGCCTTGTAGCTCTGATGAAAGTTCCTAATGTTATGCCATGGTGTCTTGTCTTGTTCTGGAGAAATGGCAGCCTTTGTTGAAGTGGTATTTGCTTTGCTAGAAACCAGTGAATTACGTGTTCTTGGATTACAGGCAATGTTTGTATAGTCTAAACAAATGAGGTTGTCTTGAGAACTTAGTGATTTTTTTTTTTTTTCTTTCTAAATTAATGATCTTCCTTCCTTTGCCAAATCCTGAAACTCTTCTCTGCATTAGATGCCAGAAGAGTTTTGAATTTTTATCTGGAAAGAACTCAACATATTAAATGGACAGAAAACATTTGTATCTAAGACAGTTTAAAGAGTCCACCTGTATCTCAGTGTTTTCGTTCTCTTTCATTTGGATGTTTTCGTGTATCTAAGGAACAGTGAAGATCCAGGCAGACACTTTTTTCCATTAAAAAGAAAAAGGATGTATTTGTTTTGCTAATAATGTGGGAAAAACTCAACTTGAAAAAACAATATACATAAATGAATCTTTGTGAAGTATTTGAAGAAGACTTTCACAACAGAACTCTTATGGATTACAGTTCTTCAGGATTAGTGTAAGAGAACTACAATAATATTGCAATCAATCGTTAAAGTGCCTTTTTAAAATAGTCTGAAGAATAACCAGCCAGTCTGCCATACTGCCAGTTCAAAGCAAGTTTGTCAGTTGTTGTCACATCAGGACAATTAAGACAATCTGCTTAGTTAATTAATTTGTATAAGCATTCATGCCTGTTCCTGAGTTCTTCATTCTTGTAAAGGACTGAGTAATTCCATCTTCCTGATTTCCAATAACAGTGAAGACTATGTAGTACCTGCTTATCAACCTTTGGCCTTTTGTCCAGTTGTAAAGAATTTTATGTATTTACGTGAGAATTTGGGAAGAACTGACTTATTTTTTTGTTTCAACCTTGTCATGTGTGTTAGTTAATATGAAGTTTCGTACTTGGAAAACTGTCATGTTAGTTTCATGGCTGCCGTACCATATATTAAATACTATTTTGCCATTACAACTTTATTTGAACAATGTTATATGCCATTTATGGTGGAAAAGTTGTTTGATTTTAACATAAGAATTACTTCATATGTATTAACCTTATATCTTTCTTTAAACACTTTTCCAGAACTGTCAGGACATGGGATGTTAACAATGAAAAAAAGCACAAAAGCGTATTTAAACCACGATCAGTTCAAGGTAAACGGGTGATTCCTACAACTTGCACGTACAGCAGAGACGGTAAACTTATTGCGGCTGGCTGTCAAGATGGGTCCATCCAGATCTGGGATAGGAATATGAGTGTAAGTTGAGTTTTTGATATCAATATATGCTTCTCATATAGCAAGTGCTGAATTTGAAGCTGATGGAATCGATTTTGGTACATTTGTACTTACACTTTATTTTCTTTCTCCTCTGAAACCGAAATAAGTCATTGGCAAAATTTAATATTCCTCTGTACTACTGATCATTCAGTGTACTGGTATTCACTTCAAAACACTGAGGAAAATCTTGGCAGTCTGTTTTTCAGAAGAAAAAAAAAAAAGTTAGCCACATACCAGTGTTTAGACCATTATTCTTTTAGGGAACTATTTCAAATTCTTAAAAATTTTGAAATATACTCTGTAATTTCTCCTGTTCACATTGAACTTAAAATTGAATTTCCAGTAGTTATGAACCTGACAAAAAATACATACAATTCTTGCTACTACTTTATAATCAGTGCTCCCTGTTGCTTTTTGTAGCAGTTTACAAAATGGTCCAGTCGCAAGAGTTAAATTTTGCAGTGTCGATTGCAAATTCACTATGCACAGCTTTACTGCTTTTAAAATTAACTATCCTAATAATCATCCATATCTTCTTTATGTCCTTCTTACCCAAAGAATTGATGCCCAGTCCCTTCTGCTTCAGTAGGATAAGTACTCCACATAGGAGGAGAAAATGAGATTAGGGTCAACTATTTTGGAAGCCAATGTAAGATTACAGAGGAAATAAGGCAGGGGGGACAGGATCCTTTGAATCAAACTGATATCATAAATCTTTGAAAACTGTACCATTCCAATGGGATGGCTTTGGGGAAATAATACTGAACTAATACAAGTTAGATTAGTCTGTTCAACTTAATCGTTCAAAGCATTTGATTTTAAAAAGGAAAACAGGCAATTTAAGGAACTTTTCATAAAGACTAAATAAAATTTGATTGCTGGGGGCAAGAGGAAATGTGTAGATGTAAAAGGAAAAGAAACCCTGTTGATCATATTCAAAGAACAGCATGTATTTTGAGATTGTCATCTATTTTTATTTCTGTTTTTATTTCCACTATAAACCCAGTAAAACTTCCTAATGGCATGAAGCTTGAGAATTCATCCTAAGTGTAAACTTGTTCTAACAGAATAATAAATTTTTCAGAGACTGGCTTTCATCACCTGTGTATGTTGTTTATTTTAACATATACAGTATTGAAATATTAAGCTTTCTGGTGTAGTTTTAACAATAGTGCTCTTGGTAGTCTGCTTTTTCATGTGCTTTTCCTTTTGAACTTTTGTGTGTCTATAAGATGACATATTGCAATGCTTACTGAGTGCAGTTTAAGGTGATTATGAATAATTTAAAGATACATCCTGTGCATCTTGTGCAATTTCCAACTGGTGACCCCTGTATAGCAATGCAAGACTAAAGTGATTTCCTAGTGGAAATGAAGTTGGTAGTGTCCTTGAATTTGTATTTTTAAAGCCTAAATAATTTTTGTCTTTACTTTTGTTGATGTCATTAAGAAATGTGCAAGATCTTTGTGTAAAACAGCAGTGGAAATTTTATTTTTAGTGGCATTCTTACCTAAAACTGCTAGTACTCTGGAAATCTGTGTGTATGGTTAAAATCAGACATTTCAAAAGGCATCTTGATGAAATAACTAAAATAAGAGAAAGCCTTCACCTTACATTTGGGGGGATGGAGGAGGGATAAGGGAAAAAAAAAAGGAATATGCATTCAAGGTGGGATTTAGAAAGAGGAGGATGGGATTGACTCCTGCACTGGAATGATGGAGGGATTGACTCTTGCACTGGAATGATGAAAGCACTTAGTGTCCTGACAGGATGCAGTGTTCCTTGCAGTCATAACAAAGTGGTGCAGTTTTGGGGGTACGAACTGTAGGTGACACAGGAAAACAGGTAAAGCTGTGGAGAATCAAGGTGTGAGGGTTAGTGCTGCTTGAAGAAATACATAGTAAAATGCTAGCTTCTGATTTTTGAAGAAAGAATTTTTTTAATTCCCATCCAGGGAACGTTTTGCTATACTACAGTACAGCTTTGTTTCAAGTCAAAAATTAAGACAGCATTTGTGCAACAAAAATAACTAGTGTTGAAAGCAGAAAATAGTTGTTACAATTTCTTATACTTGATCAGTTAGGAATGATTCTGGCATCATTATTTTAGGCTATGGATTTGGCACATATGCAGCATGAAGGTGTTTAAAGTTAACTGTAGCTTAGTTGGCCTTGCTGTCATGCCAGAGCTAATCCAATCAAGGCCTGTTTTAACTGTCTGAATTCATTTTTGCATTTGAGCAATAAGATAAATGTTACTTCAGCCCTGCTGTTGACTGCCGGTACAACTGTTCCTGCAGATGGTGGTAACAGCACAACCTACCTGCCAAATAGTGTGGCTCACACTACGTACTACCTATAGAGCCTATTATCCTGATGTCTGTGAAGGTTTCTTAGAAACTACTCTTTCCTTTGGGGGTTCACAAAAACCATAACATTTAAGAAGGTGGCAGAAGCTCCCTGACAAAGCTCCTGGGAATCTTCCTTGCCGCTGTAGTCACAGTGTCTGACTGCTGCTTGCAGGTTTATTATATTCTGCACCCCACCCGTGACTTGATAGCTTTAGGTCCAACTGCAGGAATCCTACTGATGTGTCTACCAAAGGGCAAACAAATTAAAAGTCAACCTGTAATGTGGTGGTGTCCACATCGCCACAGTGGTGTCACTTGTGTTTGCTGCTCATTAGTGTAGAAGAACTTGGTGCAGAATAGTGTGATTAAATAATTCTTTGAATGTATATATATATATTTTTATTTATTTAGAAAGAAACAACATCTTTTCTACCCCATGTTTTATCCTCCCTGGTGAAGTCAAAGTAGCTGTTTGTTGCAAGTTAGGGTCACAAATTAGGTTTTTTTTCCAAGCTACTTAGAGCCAGCTCAGTATCTACTTTTTTTAAATTATGTTTTTGTGTCTAGGGAGTGATTCTGGTGTGTGATCAATTCCCTTTAGTTCTGACTAGTAATGCACACTGTAAGTTTCATTCAGTTTTCTGCTTCCACTATTTTTTTGGTGCAATTCCAAATCTCCCAGCTGTCTGTAGTGAGAGTAAAAACACTTTTGAAACTTTTGGAGGAAGACTTTTTTTGTCTTTGTGACACTGACATTGGTAACTTGCTAACGCTGAAGTTAGCCAAATGCATTCCAGCTCTGCCTTGCCTTTCTCCAAACTTCCTCAGCATGATCATGATCCATTATAATCACCTGCCTCAGAGGATTTTTTCATTTTGTCATAAATCTATGCTATTTTCTCACGTATGTTATTTTGTCAGTGCATGGTTTTTCTTTAAAGTTCACGTACGTGTGCATTTACAGTGCACGTTAGCAGAATGATCTGTCAGCTTGTTTGAAATATTATGAACACTGTCAACTTGGCTTAAAATAACAGCTTCAAAGGACATAAAAAATAACTTCCCTCAAACTTCCAATGAATAGTGGAAACAATAGTGTGAAATAGTCGATCATAACATAACACGTTAGAACTCTCTCAGTTTAAATGGTCTGAGGTGTGGAGAAGTGTCTGGCAACTATGGGGAGTTGAAGAGTATTAGTGGTCAAAATAAGACAGGATCTTGAAAATTACCGATTCACGGGGCAGTGCAGTAAACCCACTAGATTTACATGCAGTTGAGATAGGTTCGGATTCCTCATCTTGCCTGTGCTTGTCCATTCAGAGCTCTTTGCAACACCAATAGTAGTTCGCTATTGCTGAACAAGCTGATCCGTGGAGCTGTCTTTAGAATCAAGAATGAAGTGTGTCTTGCAATCAGTAAACCTCTTTGCACCCAGTTTTCCTGTGTAGAATTGGGAGTATCTCATTCATAAAAATAAGGAAAGACTGGAGTAATTTTGGTAAAAACTGTTATTGTACTTGGAGGGTTATAAAGAGAATAAAAAATCTCCCCTAATTTTGCATACTTGAAAGGAATGAGATGTTTTTCACTGGTTACAAATGGGATTTATTAGCAAGAGAAAGCTAAACTTCTTAGCCTTTCTTAGTCTTTCAGACCACCTGATGAGGCTGTTACGTGATGTTTTTACCGCCAGCTTTTCCTGGGTGTATTTAGCCCAGGACTGCACAGACATCTTATCTGCATATGGCAGCCTGAATCATGTTTCTCAGTTTCACACATCACCCATTTTATTGTGTATCATTGCAGCTGTGATACAAAAATATTGATAAGGATGTTGAGGAGGCAGAGTTTGTAAGGAGTAGTGATGTCTTTTAAATGCCTTTAAGAAAACAGCCTGGAGACCCAAAATCTTGTCTGTCTGTTTTTTTTTTTTTCTAGCTATATTAATTGGGTCTGTTTAGAAACCTTGAGTAATTTTCATAAGGTTTTAGCTATCTGGTGGCTACACTGTAAGTAGTCAAGTGTCAACTATATATCTATAATAGGTTTATCTTTTTATGTAGTGTAAATCAGAACAGGAAAGATGCAATGATTATGATTTTCATTATTCTCATTAAACACATACTAATTCAGTGTTTAGGGAAAGATTTTTGTAGCTCGTCATTAACTTACATTTTTTTACTTTCTTGTTTCATAAAAGTGGTATGTTTAGCTCCATTCTTAACTATTTCCTGCTCAAAAGTGAGCATCTACTACAGTATTGCTGAATTACTACCTTGCTAGTGTTTTCGTTTTAAAACGTTAATTTGATTTTTAAATTGCTAGAATAATTTATGTATTTTGATCAGTTTTAAATTACTTAGCTAAAGCTCAAAGTGATTTTCCAGAACTTAAAATGTACACTAATAGTGAAATCCAAAACTATACTATTATGCTGCCCACATGAATATCCTCAAAAGTGGTGTGATCCAGTGGTATTCCCAATAACCATTTTTCCACACGCCCTTAAGTCACCCTATCCTCAAAATACAAGAGGAAGAAAAGTGGGATGTTGCAGTATGCCCTGAAGTTAAGCAGATCTAAGCTCTGTACATTTTAATTACAAATACTCATGTTAAAAGTATTT